CGCGTTGTTTTTAGGTTTATGGTACTGACTTCCTTTTGAGTTGAATCTTGCTGCATGAGTAGGTTGTTTTCCATTGCCTAAAGCCCTTGGCTGATATTGGTGACATCACGACAGCCATTCTCTGCCTCGGTGTGCTCGTGGTTGTTGTCTGGGTAACCAGACCGGGGCAGATTACTGGCTAGTTTTTTTGATCATAGCTTGATTCCACACCATATTTTCGGTACAGGTATGGAACTTTCATCATGGGATATCGGTAGCCCAAATTTTGCAGGCCGACCATAGATATCAGTGGTACGTGGGTGCGGATCGAACCTCGGTCCATGTGCATGGTCAGCGAGAAACCCAACCACTGTGCCACTGACGCAGTCCCTCCTCGTTATCGCACTCTAAAGCAAATCTTGAGCTGAAATAATCTCGGCAAGGTATATCTGGCAAAACTCACAAGTCAGCGTGTGCATTTGCCATTCATTGTTTTAGTGGTGTTTTGTGTGTAGGAAGCCATACTTTTCTGCAGGACTATCGCCCGATACTTGCTTATTCGTGCATGCTGCCTGTTTTGTTTCCAGCTGGTCTTCTTGACACCAAGATAAAATAAGTTTAAAATAATTTCTCTGTTAACAGAATGACTAATCATTAACTGATATTTGGATCTCGGCGTCAGTGGAGACATGAATAGTTGTGCGTTTATCTGAAAGGCAAAAAGGTTGAACAAGACCGAAGACAATTTATGATAGAAAATGAGTTGTATAAGATAAGCTTTGATAATTAGCAATTAATCAGATGGGTTAATCAAGAAGTGGCTGAGAAATTATGAGAATGAAAATAGTAAAGACCACATGTATGAAAGTCATACACAGAAAGATGGTAAAACCAACGGTAAGGGACTCGCAACGGCAGTAGTGTTACCGAGTAAACTAATATATACTATCGATTTACGAGGTGGTACGAACAAATTTGATATCTATGCACTCGCTCCTTGCTTGTGAGGTATAGGTTTTTGGTCTTCGATAAACTTCTGTGGAGCTCGTCTCGCCACTTGACTGACGTAGCTCTGGTTGACTCCAAAAGGAGTGGTGCTGGGATTCATTATGTGTTGTCTGTTGTATGCGGTCTGTTAAAAATTTGTTACTACTGTAAAATGGAGTTGATCCTTTCACCTGTAAGTACTCCGGTATAGTCATCAAAATTGAAGAGATAATAATAACAGATATAATTAGTGTAGGTTATTCGGACTAAGAGGCAGGAAAGAAATAAAGAAAACAAATAGATAGCTAAATAAATCTGAAGTTGATGTATATATAAAAATATGTACACAAAATAAACAACAGTAATGCTTATATTAAGTCAGAGTGTAGTAGTTGCAGCTGTCAGAAGAGTGAGACAGGAGAGAATGAAAAGAAGTGGAAAGACGAAATAAGACACCAAGCCATGAAAGGTGTACAAGATTAAAACGGGATAAGCCATTAGGACATAGTCCTTGTGTCGTGCACGATTGTCCAGCCTTTGCTTGAAGCTGTCCATGGACGGCGCCGTACCTACATCTGCTGGTAAGGATTTCCAGGGACGGAAAACTCTCATGGAAAAGAAACGAGAGCTCACTCGAGTCTCTGCCCTCTGGTGAGCTATCCTGTTCGGATTTCCACCAGGAAGCCCATACCTGCTAAATGGCAGAACAACTTTGCTAACGCGACTCGGGTCACTTGAAATCCTTGAGGTAGTAATCAATTCCCCTTAAGCGAACGGTAGCCAATTGTGAAGAGGCCTGATTTCCGTAACAGTTGATCATATAGTTTATTCCTGAGACCCATGAACCATTTTCTTCCCCATCTTTGGACTCTTTCCAAGAGGTTTGCGTCTTTTCTAGGCGGTGGGCGTGCAATTCTATTGTGCGCTTCAAGGTGTGGATTGACGCATGTTTTGTATATCCTTAGAAAGAGCTCAGGGGTGAGTGCACCTGACTGTCCATGTGTAAAGTGTGTGACCGGATATGCCCTCGTTACGTCCCCCGTGTAATTCACGCTTGTGTCCACTTTCCCGTTAGAACTAGACCTGAGCAATGCTCCAACTTTTTGCAAGGCAAACTTTCGTTGTAGAGGGCATCACTTGCATTCTGCAGCTTACAGGTGCATAATTTCACTGCTTTGCACTTTTTAAGGTTGAAAGTCATACCAGTGGCCACAGCCCAGTCTTCCAGAAGCTTTAGGTCTGCCTGCAGCCTATCTGAATCTTTTGAGTATTTTATTGCCTTTCAAATCTTCATGTAGTCAGCGCAATGAAGGGTCGGACGGCTTAGACCGCAAGATAAGACGCTACTAAAAATAAAAATGGCAGGCTGTGCCAGGATGATCGGACACGATTGATTTAAGTGCAGAGTGCAGATCGAATCTCGAAGTCGTGTGGCCAAAATTGATATGAATATGAACAATAAATTGTGTTCGAAACGTCATCCAGTATACAATACTGTTTCACAGTGTGATACATTTAATAAACAAACTAATATGGAATTACTTACTACCACAGTGCCCAAGTTTTACACATATATTAATAAGAATACAGCTTTTGCTCTGTGGTAGAACATAATTCCATTATGGGTAACATTTATTTTGATAAAGCCTCACAGTGTTATACAGTGATACTTACTGGCCACATTTCGAGCACGATTTATTGCTCACAATCATATCAAGGTACTCACACAACTTTCTAATTTCGTAACTCTGCAGGTTAAAAGACCCACTTGACCCAAATAGACAAAATAATATCATTTACAGAATACCCTGCAGTGACTGTGAGGTCAACCACATAGGTCAAACTAGTGGGTGGGGGTAGTTCGATTGTTGGAACATAAGAATTTAGCTACGGTAAGAAGATAAGTGATTTAGAAAAAAGCTCGGCGATTGCACTGCATGCATTTACACACAACCACACAATAGGGTGGGGGGGGGGTTAAAATTCTAAAATGTAATATAGGTAGGTGAAGAGAGACGTTGATTACTGTATCCTTGTTCATCGAGTCTACACTCAATAGGAACGACCCATCACTCGTACCGGAAATATGGAAAATATTTCCTAGTTTGTTGCCTTCTTACAATTCGGGGTCTGCGTTCGCAGCACCAGATGTGTCCTAGAAGTTTACCCTTGGCCTCGCACCACCGTTAAGGTACTAGGGCCAAATGTTCTTGGGAGTTGATTTTGATATTTAGCAGCCTTGGGGACCTAATCAGTGTGAGATGAGCGGGGCAATGTAGCCGGCAAGTCTGGATTACTCCAGAAGCGCCAAGGGTCACCTGAGGTGTCAACCATCTCCACTGCTGTACGTCGTGCATGCGTTTTTCACAATTATTGCCAGTTTCCAGCTCCGGAACACCATGTGTGATCATCGAGGTAGAGGGCATCAATTCCAGTGATTCCCTTGCCATTCGCACGTTAGCAGATCAGCTATCATTTCTTATTCCTATGTTGGAACTCCTGTCAATGGCTAACATTTGAGCCACTAAGAGCAATAATTCCGCCTCCACGATGGAGCCTAGTATAACCCTTAACGTAGGTAGCTTACTTTGAGCTGCATGGACACCCCTAACAGCTTGCACAATTTTGCTGAATTGATGTTCATGCTCAATTTATTGTGCAGAGTAGATCACTGTCAATGCAGTTGAAGATTGAACAATCAATTCATGGTTGTTTGCTCAAACCCAACTCCCCCATATTTTTCGCGGGAGTCTTATTGTTGGTTACATATTGGCATAAGAATGAAAGATTCTTGAGTCGCCAATCTGTGTTCTGGTTTTTCGCGTTGGTTATTACAAATTGTTTCGGAAAGTCTTCCAGGGACAGCGTGGGGTCTAACGTAGTAAGAGCTGGACATTGATAACCACCGTTTCTGACCAAACAGGGCCTCTTGTTCAAGCAAGCTATCATTGCAAACGGGTACATTAAACAGGGTGGGAGGGTTCGATCGACTGGTCTCAGACTTAGGTTTGGTTTTTGGCCGCTCGCCCTCCTTTGTAAGGTCATTCAGTTTAGATTTCACCAGGTTCAGACTAGTCTTTGCAATGTTGCCGCACTTGCTAGCGGATGCAAGTTGTGCTTTGGGAATTCCATCTTCCCCTGCTGTTATAGGTTTAATCTTGGGAGTCTTCAGCTTATGAAGATTGATATTTCCAGTCGGTTCGTCTGGAGTATCCTTCTCACGATTTTTATAAAGTTTCGGTGGTGTGGTGTTATCAGACACAGAGGTGCATGAGACTGTGTCGAGACACAAAAGTGATGTTCTGTTTCTGGTATTCAGAGCCACTCTGTGAGAAATAGTGCCAAGGCGACAAAGTGGGCAGATGTAAAAGAACAATGGGCACGGGTGGTTTCTCACACACTCATAATTTCGTTTTACCAAATCTTTTGTCACAATAGCGGTGTACTCACCGTTCGCAAAAATTGCATTCAAATGTTGAATTAATCCTAGAAACGACAACACTACAAGACTGACATCTGTCTACTTTCCCAGACGGCGCTTCCGAGGTCTTTTGACGTCTTGAGGGTTTCTCTTTTATTTTGCTGTATGCCACACACTGGCTTCATATTGGGGAGTGATGATCCTCGACGTGACGGCCTTAGACCAAGCACCTCGGTCCAATTAATCAGCGGAAAAATCTAAAATTGAATTTAAGTTCTCTCTTTCTATATACTGTTTTTAGTCTACATAACCGACGCTAAGTAGATTTGTGATTATTACTCTTTTTTTGAATGGACAGGAATGAAGGAGCAACTCCACTCACAGGAACAATACGGTCTTAATACCTCATATAACAAACTGCACACAAATGGTCCAAGCACCATTCCTTTGATAGTCAACTGAAGCTATGACAATCGAGTGGCGGGACGAGCTACGCAAAACTTTGTCGAAGACCAAGAACCTTTACCTCACAATCAAGAAGCAGGCACATAGAAATCAAATTTGTTTATGCAAGCTCCGTAAAACGATATTGGACATTGTACCCACATACTTCATGGCAGAATTTCGAATGCCTCGGTCAATGGTAGGTGTTATCGATGGGTGCATTAGCCACTCGCTTTGGCTCTTCTAAAGCCAATAAATATGCATTTAATGTATGCAGCTCACAGGATCCCACAGTATGAATATTTTGGTAGTGCCTAACGAAGTTATAGAATAAGGACTACTCGAACTTATCCAAATGCTTCAGATATGCTAGATCGGACGAAGCTGCTAGCATGTCGAGCATATATTTCATAGCAAATTATGAGTCGAACGCTTCAAAATCTATGGATTTTGAAGTATGTTATGAGAGGTTTAATCATTTTCAACCACCTACTTTTCAATGTTCGTTGACAATTTTAAAATTCATAAAGTTGTGATATGAAGCTTTGAAAAACTATTAGAAGCAACTTCTAATTAGCGTATCTTTGTAACTAGATTTTGCAGACACTTTCATCAACTCAGCACAGAAAAGTTTTCGAGGTTAGCAATACCATCAACAGCGAACGATGTATACTAAAAATGTCATCGAAGTTTCATATATTGTCGAAAGGTCCATCATCTATTAGACAGGCTAGAGAAGAAGCTGAAATTCTGGTAAATCGGATAAGATACGATTACTTTTCAGAGGATGGTTTCGTACCAGTTTATCGTCAAAATACTTGATTCCTGGCAAGATGAAACACACCTGTACATAAGTACATACTATGTCTACTCTGATATTTTACTCATGTAGCCACCGAGTTCGTGCCTGGAGAAGATCTTTTCAGCATTTGGAAGTCCGTGAAAAGTCTGTCAAATTCACTAGTGCGCTTTTTATCCGCGCAAATATCTTTGGCTTTGGGTGAGTTAAGATTTCTTACTTTTAATACAGTAGATTATCTTCATAAAAATCGAGTTATTTACCGAGATTTGAAGGTATTTTCAAACGATTCCTAAAATAATTTGTAGATGGAAAACACAATGTTAAACTCAGATGGCTACATAAAACTGATAGATTTTGGGGCGTCTAAGCGTTGGGAACACAGTAATTCAAGGACATGGACTATTTGTGGCACGACTGTATACTTAGCACCAGAATCGTTTAGCGGCAACGGCTATAACTTCCTCGTTGATTGGTGGGCACTCGGAATTCTCTGCTTTGCTATGAAGTTTGGAAAATTTCCCAAAAATGTATATGACGATATTTTTACGATGAGCAGCCCCATAAGTTATCATAGTCATTTGGAGAAAAGTGGGGATTCCTTCAAGGAATTCATCCAAAAGGTATGTTTTGCAAAGGAATTACTTGGATTGAAGTAATATCCATTTGAACGAATTTTATTCCCTACTATAAATTGTAATGCTTTCATTACAGTCAAATTTAGTTTTTATTCATTATATATCCTAGTAGTGAGCATTTAATCTTATTTACTTGAAAGTTGAATATCTGTGGACGAAATCCGTATCATCACTAAATACTCGTGGGAGTTGAAGAGAAGATTAGCTCTGATTATATAGGGAATTTATTGTTTTCAACTTAGAGTAAGCATAGCGTCAACGTGTTAGCCAAACCCAATAATATGCGAAGGAAGATGACATCGTCAGAGTGACAAAGTTTAATAAGACAGGAAGGAAATTAATCTTTTTCAGACCTCCGAAGGTATAATGTTTTCTGAGACAGTCAAAATGCCCATATAGTTTGCGGTGAAATAAGTCAAATATCTGGTGTTTAATAAATACAAATATTAGCAGTTATTTGCATACATACTGCATTAACTTAAAATGAATAATTATTATATTGTCTTTAAGAATGAATGTTGATGCCTTATCAGCAGGTGAGTGACTTTGGAATTTTTCCATATTATTTGGTAGTCCCAACAGTATTTGATGAATGAACCGGCCAACTAAGAAACATTTCATAATCATTTATAAGATAACAAATATTCTCGTCAAGTTGAACAAGATTACTAACTTCCCGACTCAAACTGATTACCATTCAAAACCTTTTAAATGAGTGGCTGTGAATATTCCTGTATTCTGTAGCCTCATTTATCATGGTTTATGATAAAGATCCCACTTAGTATCGACAGTTTCATACAGTTAGCCATATTTCCGGACAAAAGGGAGGCACTTGGCTACTTTGACTGAGACATACTGACCATGAAAATGGTGCCGAGAAAGTACATCACGCTAGCTAAGCAATGGCAACTGGTGATGTCCATCAGGGATGTTCAGTTTTCAAATCTGTGTTTAGTTTCATCATAGATATACTCACAAATATGACCGTAATTGACTTTAAACACTTAAGGAATGAGTTGTTGTCAGGGTGGAGTCTCATCGACTTACAGTAGACACATGATATAGTACTTATCGATGAAAAAACACAGTCTTCCTGGTATCTTAAGGAAAAAATCTTAGCATATTTAGCATGCACTTTGTGTCTGTCAGATTTAAGAGGATGCTGTGGGACTGGGCTATTGTGACTTTTACTTTAAAGACAGAGAGTTTGTTCACTGAGCTTGTTGATCACTTGGGAAGTTGCGTTGGTCCTAATGGATAGATCAATAACGAATTCTCAGCAAGCATACAAAAAGGTCGCGTAGGGTTTCACAGCTTGCATCGCCACTTCAAGTAAAGGTGATACCTGGCTATTGATCAAACGACATATTTACTGCGTAGCTTTTCTCTCTATCTTACTTTGCCATCGTCAGGAATGACCATTGAAAGTAGAGGATTTAGAGTGGCCAGCTGCATTCGACCACAAGTGTTTACGTTCTACCTCTCATGTTAAGTGGTATAGTATGGTGAATTTTACTGAGGTTAGACCTGGAGTACTGGTTAAAGAAGATCAGTCAGGGAATAAGGTTGGGAAACTACTACTATTAAGATGGATAGGATACGTGTTATACATTTCAAACCACCGCCCTCCTAGATCCATGAAGCCCTCATGTTTTTCCATGTGGTTATTATTTCTCCCATACAAATTGATTCGATAAACTCCTGTAAAAATTTCTACGTTAAAATTCCATCTCATTTCAGTTAACACTGGTGGTTTTGATCTTACTAGGCTGATATTTTCGACTAGCATATCCTTTGGTTAATCTTAATCACTGTATACAAAAACCTTCATTCAATATTGTTTCATAATCAAAGCTTCTTCAAAAAAACCCACAAGAAAGAATATATGGCTGTGCAAATATACAACTATTGGATTTCTTCGCCGGTAAAATAAATTTTGCTACAGTGGAAAGTCATCAGGTAAGTTCAAATTAGAAAAACTTATTAAATGTTATGATAAATTAACTTCAGCATATAACTTGGTCGAAAATTTTGGAAACTTCATTTTTTCAAGTCAATTCAAGAAACTCAGTGAATAAACTTGATCTGTTCTAGTGATATCTTCATGAAGAGCGTTTAACAGCTAATCAGTTCTAAAATGTGCAACTGATTTTGATAGGAGTATATTTTGAATTTAATTTACATAGTCTTTTACTACTGATCTACCTAATAAACAAGCAAATGAAAGACGTTAAAATAAGGCATCGAATTACTGGATGGCCATCATTCAACACTTAAGTTGTTAGCATTATAACTAATTGCCTATCTATCTAAATGGTTTAGGGGCTGATGTTACTTGTTCACTTAGGCTTAATTTCAACTGTTGTAAAGCTATTTTATGCAAGAGCGTTGTTAACTGACTTATGCAAAAAGTAAGAAATGATTATATGAAAGTTTGAAAACAAAATAAAACATAAGTATGGTTTTGGAAAGGCAAAAATGTGAAGAAAATGATTAATCATACCCTTCTAGTAAAACTTGATGATTTCTTGCATTACTCTCAACCAGTCATGCCTATAAGATATAGTGTGTAGACTCTAATATGCAGGGATAACAGTTTTTCTGTATTAATCAAGTCCAAGGATTCGAATCAATTTTAGACACTTAATCAAACATTTAAAGGTGAAATCACTGTTTTTCCCTATTTGACAGTATTTTTATATTTTAAGAAAAATGACTGCAATCTCGAAATTACTCATTGTCTTATAAAACTCCCCATAGGTGTTTGGTGGAATGATTCTATTTTCAGTAATATTAAGTGCTTCGTGGTATCCTCAATTTATAATTATTATTTTGGGACTCTTCATCAGTACGAACCCACCCCAATGGGGTTCGGACGCAGAACTTTCTGGTTACAAGGCGAGCTAGCTCGTAGACCATTGAGCCACTGGGACCCAATCTAATGGATGGTTCATGAATTCTAACTTGTATCAATTCATGGCATAGCGCGACCACTTCCCAATGTCTTCTTCGATGAGTTACCACCTCACCTTTAACCTGCTGTAACCTACTGGTCACGGCTTCCCAGTAGAACCCCAGGTTAATTGCCTGAATAGGGCCAATCGCTAGTGAGCAACAAATTAATTTTCAGGTACTGGGCTTTTTGGGGATTTTGTTTGATTTGTTGAAGGATTTCATCATGAGCTGACACCAGTTAAAGAACCATTGAAAAACTAATCAGTGATTGAGATGTAATATGACTCAGATGATTAAAATTACCTGAAGAAAACATAGATTTATGACGTATGAACGCCACTTTAGCATGTACTAATATGATTTCTTATCTGAGTTGATTCATAAACGCAAATACAGGTTTGTTAGTGTTTTAAAAATGAAATGACGCACACATAGTGCATCATACAATGCTTAAGCAGTACGCATTCCTGATGCATTGAATGAGTACTGCTTAAAGTTAAAATGGAATAGGGCATGATTTATGTAAATTTTGCAGTGACCAACAAGTGTCATTGATACATAACGCAATTCGATGAAAAAGAGGAACTAAATCCACCAATTACGTATTTATATCAGCACTGTTGATGACCCTTAGGTATTTTGTAAGTGCTAATGTCATGAGCTGGCTACGCAAAAGTTGGTCAGTGGGTTATAGTTCCTTATAAATCAGTCACAAAGTTAGTCAATAATGCGCAGTCAGTTCAAATTTAAAGTATCGGGTTTATGGAGATTTAGTTGTTATTGATGGTCTTTTATTTAGTGTCAATTCGTAATCAAATCTACCTATTCCAAAAACTTGGAAACTTGATTGCAGTTTGTTTCGTATAATAATCTGGATGATCTTACTGTTAAGATATACCAAATCAAACAATTACTGCATTCATAGTGTTACTTTCCAATGTTTAGACATTGTAAATTATAGGCTAATTGGTGGATAGTGATTAGCAGTGGAATCCAGGATGTGCATTTCGTCCTATTTGGGACTCGTCAGCCCTCTATATTATCGTAAACAATAACTACATAAAACTGTTTTAATGAAAGTAACATTGCACCAAACGCTTATATTGGCCAGAAAACCTGCACCAATGTGAGAAAAGACGTGCAAAAGAATTCTAACTCAATTCTAATAGCCCATATGGTATATCCCTGACCTCTTGATAATTTTAAAGGATAGTGGCTTAGTTTTGGTGTCTTCAAAATAAAGCATAATAACCAACCTATTTACAACTGTTAATCTTAAGATTACAGCTTAATTGTATAGTAATCCAAAGTAGTAAAAAGGATTAAACTAGAATGATAAAAACTGCCTAATGGTTGCTAGCTTGTAAACTGTTCTTCAGTTCATTATACTGCAGTAGAAGAAGCGTAGGATTTAAAACTAAACAAATTTTTATGAAGCAGTATCACATGTTGTAGCGATCTGAATAACATGAGTATTCTTCACCTTCATTTTGTGTGCTCAACTACTTAATAACCATGTCATACGTATGTTTAAACCTATTTCTAGCACTTTATCATTCGTCTTCTTTTTCTTAATATTAATACTAGATAGATGCCCATGTTATGTATATTCTCTGTTGTGATACTACTATGCCGTACTTCTCTTCTAAGTAAAAAAAATATTTCTTAGAACTAATCAACTGAAAAATCATCACGTGCAGCATATACTTGGAAATATTTATGAATTTGCATAGGTTGTTATAATTAACAACTTTTAATTATATGCGTCCAATGTATATTCTTTAATTGTGTATGTTAATTGGTTTTACTATATTTTCATATCAAAAAGGGTTATTACTACAGTCGGGATAGCACTACCGAAACTGAACACTACTTAAAACTTGAGACTGAAATTTACTTATCATTTCTGTAACTATATGAAAAGGTAAAGTTTCGAGCACAAAATTTATTGTGTTAATAAGTTATATCAACATCATGACTATATTGACTAAAGAACATTGAGCAGACCATCAGACAAAATTATTTCCACTACCTAAGGTCACCGAATAAGTGTAGAATTGAATACGAATGTAATAGTGTAGCAAAAGAAGCCAAGGACCAGGCAACAGATCATTTATTGAGAAAATCAACAGATATTTATAATTTTTATGTACATTATTATTCGTTATTGTTAGCAGGGAAACAACGTCTTCTGATTGGTTGTTTTCCTGTCATTTCTTTGTTGCTGTTTCTTAGACAGTCCAGTGATACATCTGCGAATCGTATCCACCCACACTAAGTCTGCTGTGATTGGTTGTTGAGTTCCTCAGGGTTAGGCTTTGTTCTTGTTTTTCTTCCCATGACCAAAATTTGGGACGTAAACACTGACGTAAATTGCTTTCTACCAATTTTGGCTAGCAGACGGCTTTCACCACAATAGTAGTGGGTAACGGTTAACAGAATGCGAAAACTTCTCAAAATCAAGACTAGAACACTCTACCAATATAAGATATCTAGAAAAAGTTCAGCTGCAGTACAGGATGCTGTCATATACAACTAAAAAGAATAGAATAAAAAAGAACAAGGTGATAGTCCTGAAATCTAATTTGACAGAGTGAAGAAGTCAAAAACAGATTTATTTATCGAATGAGTTAAGCAAAACTGCATTATGAATGATTCAGCATCTGTCCTGGTCATCTGAAGAATCCTACTACCCTTACAATAAGTGATAGGGAGAATCTATGACATAATAAACAGAGTAATACAACGATCGTATGCTATAAGTGTTCAAGTTTTGAATATGTATATATGGAGAGTTTATACATAGTTGTATCGTAAACTAAAAGAATCATGCATTTGCTTGAAATTTTCCAATATCTTTAACTATATATCTAGAACAGAGGGTAATAACGTCTTAATGTGGTGACTAACTACAGTTTGCAGAGCGTTAAGATAACCGAAATAAGACAATATTTCATATATCTATCCGTTTATTACCGTCACTCTTACCATTCACTTCGTTGATCTCATGTTCGTCTACCGTGGTATCATTCTTTGATTGATCACTAGGTGGATTAACCAATGTCATGTGTCTAGTTCTTGGTTTGGTGAAATTTGCAGTGTGATCACCGTCGCAGTGCATTGTGAATCGATGTTAGATGGTTAATGGCAATCGGCAGGAACTCCTGGATCTAGGTTTGTTGGTACTCATCAAAAAGGTGTATCTGAAACCTTGAAGGAACTCATGCGCCTTCTTGCATTCGGACCCGCAACACACAGTAATGCAGTCATAGACGTTACCACTGAACTATTTGGGTTGACATTTGACCTCCAGTAGGACTGTTTGGTTGCTAGTGTCTAACCGTACATTAGGTGATATGATTCTTTTTGTCCTTTGGTGTACGTGTCCGCTTGAAGTGATGTTATTGCATGCAAAGTTCTACGTTATCAGATCGATCAGTAGTCCATGAAACTGCTTATTGAACGGAGATTAATTTATAAAATGCTCTCATTTATTCTTTAGTCTGTATGACTATAGACCTTCTACACGAGTAAGCAGATTTCAAATTCGACCACATTTGTACCACAGTGAAAAAACCTCCTATAGTTCAAAGTTGGCTGTGATCCACTTGGTTTCTTTTAATGAGAATACACAGGAATTATAAGGGGATTTTCACGTTTTCATACCTTAGCGTGAAATTGTTATCTACATGTAGAGATAGTTAGAGATGACTTTAGAAACTATGTATTTTACAGTAATCTTAATTACATCAAAACAACCAAGTTAAGCAGAAGGACAAAGATGGATGCATACCTGGTTGCAGGTTCATTTACTTAAGATTCAAAAGGTTTTAACCACAAACTACAAATTACTGATACGGAGAGTATCGTAGATATCTCATTCACTCTAAAGCCAAATATCGTCCTGTTTAATGAAGTAACTGGTCAGTTTTCGAGAAACATGTATTACTTGGGTATCGGTGCTATTACTTGTACAGATAACCTTTAGGTTGGTAGCTATTTACACTCACGACCTGTTATTACTAAACTCTATTTCATAAATTTACACAAGTTAGGTATCTCTCCAGGAACAATTTCCAATTTCTTTTGGTACATCAAATAATCTAAGTCAAGTGGAACAACAATTAATGTCATATATAAGATAATACATCAGGTGTATAGATTTTGGGGAGAGGCATATAATTGTAAGATTAATAGACGAATGTAAAATGTTACGTAACATGGTGTGAAATTTGATAACATAGAATTTAATATTGTAAAAATAAAGATATAAAGTATACACATGAATAATTTTTGGTTTAAAATGTCAAGTAGATCAAGTGGAAAAGATTCAGAATGAGAGTCGTAATAATAATAATAATGATAATAATAATAATCGAAGTAATAAGGGAAAAGTACATAGAATAATAGAATAAATAAATGTCTATCCCTCTACGGCCAAGGCAGCAGTAGGGATTGTACATACTTCTTTTGTACACAAAGGTCTGGCTTAAAGTCATGAATTGCCAAGGCCTCAGCTGTCTTTAGAAGTCTGTAACGAAGAAAACGCGGGAAGTTGGCATGAATTCTGTATATGACCTTGAAATCATGGTCAGGGTTGACCGAGTGACAGGAGTCGATGAGGTGTTCTAAGATAGAGCTTCGCACACATTTCCTTTCTCCTTTGTAAAACCAAGCTGGAATATGTTCTCGTATCCGTGTGGAGAGCATTCTCTGACTACGGCCAATGTACCTTGCTCCACAAGAGCAGGTGAACTGGTAGATGCACATGGAGGCGGTCAGACGGGGGAGCTTATCTTTTACAGAGGTAGAGAACAGTTTGCGGCTCGTGAACGTCATATGTAATCTAGCTGCAGGGAACGTTTTACTAACTGATTTAGAAAGACGATTTTTGAGCATATCAGAAGCTTGATCTCCTTTGAATTCCAAGTTCAAGAATAGGGTTTTCTTTGGAACTGAGTCAGTGACCAGTTTAGACTGCTTCTCTTCCATGTTTCTGTCAATAAATCGGTTAGGGTAACCGTTTTCTGCGAGTGTGGCTTTCAGGAAGTCAAGTTCTGAGTCGACGCAATCAGAACTACAAATTTTCCTTATCCTAAAGCAGAGTGAATGGATTAAATTCCTTTTCCTGGAAATAGGCACCCAACTGTAAAAATTAGTTAGTTGTCCGTTCTATGTACGTTTCCGGTGGATCGATCTCTTGAGAGATCCGTCATTCCGTCTGCTAAGGCACACATCAAGAAACGGAATACTTAGTTCCGATTCCTTTTCAATGGTGAATTGTAAAGAAGGATGGCAGTTGTTGAAGGCGAACAAGACATCATCAAGAACTACTTTCTTATCGCAGATGACGAAAGTGTCGTCTACGTGTCTTTTATGATGTCTTGTTCGCCTTCAACAACTGCCATCCTTCTTTACAATTCACCATTGAAAAGGAATCGGAACTAAGTATTCCGTTTCTTGATGTGTGCCTTAGCAGACGGAATGACGGATCTCTCAAGAGATCGATCCACCGGAAACGTACATGGAACGGACAACTAACTAATTTTTACAGTTGGGTGCCTATTTCCAGGAAAAGGAATTTAATCCATTCACTCTGCTTTAGGATAAGGAAAATTTGTAGTTCTGATTGCGTCGACTCAGAACTTGACTTCCTGAAAGCCACACTCGCAGAAAACGGTTACCCTAACCGATTTATTGACAGAAACATGAAAGAGAAGCAGTCTAAACTGGTCACTGACTCAGTTCCAAAGAAAACCCTATTCGTGAACTTGGAATTCAAAGGAGATCAAGCTTCTGATATGCTCAAAAATCGTCTTTCTAAATCAGTTAGTAAAACGTTCCCTGCAGCTAGATTACATATGACGTTCACGAGCCGCAAACTGTTCTCTACCTCTGTAAAAGATAAGCTCCCCCGTCTGACCGCCTCCATGTGCATCTACCAGTTCACCTGCTCTTGTGGAGCAAGGTACATTGGCCGTAGTCAGAGAATGCTCTCCACACGGATACGAGAACATATTCCAGCTTGGTTTTACAAAGGAGAAAGGAAATGTGTGCGAAGCTCTATCTTAGAACACCTCATCGACTCCTGTCACTCGGTCAACCCTGACCATGATTTCAAGGTCTTATATAGAATTCATGCCAACTTCCCGCGTTTTCTTCGTTACAGACTTCTAAAGACAGCTGAGGCCTTGGCAATTCATGACTTTAAGCCAGACCTTTGTGTACAAAAGAAGTATGTACAATCCCTACTGCTGCCTTGGCCGTAGAGGGATAGACATTTATTTATTTTATTATTCTATGTACTTTTCCCTTATTACTTCGATTATTATTATTATCATTATTATTATTATTACGACTCTCATTCTGAATCTTTTCCACTTGATCTACTTGACATTTTAAACCAAAAATTATTCATGTGTATACTTTTTATCTTTATTTTTACAATATTAAATTCTATGTTATCAAATTTCACACCATGTTACGTAACATTTTACATTCGTCTATTAATCTTACAATTATATGCCTCTCCCCAAAATCTATACACCTGATGTATTATCTTATATATGACATTAATTATTGTTCCACTTGACTTAAACTATGAACCTAATCACAAATATTTTAAATTTATTTCATACTATTATTATTTCATGTATTTACACCTTTGACCTAATTAAATAATCAACGGTGATGATTAACACTGTGTAACCAAAAGGGTAGAACATGGAAATATTGACGTCTAGAATAACCGTTACAGGTTTCGATGTTGATGCAAAAGGCTGTATATATCTGATACTTTGATGAAATAAAAAACGAACGCATCCAGTAAGTAGAGAAATCTGATAATAATTAATCCACTTTAAAATGTATGTAAATTAAAAGCCTTGATTTTGCTCTTTGAAAGAAATACCACGGTTTATGTGTAGCAAACTAAATATCTCAATAAGATTTAAGTATCAACAGTTAGTACGAAGCAAAAATGACACTTATTACCTTAGTACGCATTTCCAGCACTACGGCATAGGTAGGAGATTCCAAATATTCATTTTGAGGATAGAATATGCAGTCGACGTATAAGTGACAAATAAGTCACACGCATTTTGTTACATACCTCTTTTTGGTCTTTACTATTATTATTATTGTTTCAAAATCTCGTTTCAAGATTTTGTGCTGATTTTTGACTTATAGTACGACCCAAGAATATTCTTCACTAACGAAGACATTGCTAAACTGCCAGATGGATCACTGAAAAGACGGATACTACGAGATCATCAAAATTCAGACAGCAATTTATACAATTCAGACAACTTTAATTCTTCCCACTATGATGAACATCACTCATCAAAACAAACAGGTAACAGTAAAGAAACATCCAGAAACTACCAATGTTCAAAAGACCCACCATTAAAAAATTCGAAACATTCTAAAGCTAAAGCAAACGAAGAGGATACGGAGGCAGAAAATTTAACACAAAAGTGTATGATACCCAAGAAAATGTCTGGATAAAAAAAAATAAATACATTAAATTTAACGTGAATTGTTATTTCATTCACTGTCAACCACTGATCGTTGCAATATAAGCAATAAGTCTTTTCAAAAGAGAAAGTGTAATTTACAAAAACCTTTTGAACTGTTATTGAAGTTGGAATATGCTGAATGACATATAATCCAATGTATTACGCTTAAAACAATGAATTAACAGAAATAGACAGAATAAAATTATACCATCCAATACAAAACACCATGCAACTATGCCTACTGTTGTTTGAGTCACTTGAGAAAGAGGTAAGACCGATGCTCAAACAAATAACCTAAATAATTAAGACATTACTTCTCATCTTGTGAATACACTTAAATCTTTCCTTGAATGCCACCCAAAAGACCGTATCGTATTGTAAGACTTAGACAAATTTGAACGATAAAGCACAGCTTCTATGACAATATTAAATGTTATATTTTATAAGAACTAACAAAACAGAATGAAACTGTATTCATACATCTCATTCCAAATTGTAAAACCTATAGGTGATGATATGAAACAGTGTAACAGGAACTAACATGCCTCTAAAGAGGTGACTCTATAAGTCGACTATTGTGGAGGACATTCGACCTGCCCTAAAAATCAGACTGAAACATGCCCGCTTTTAGGAAAAGATGTTGCGCTGTGAATGATCATCATTTTCTGCTTTTCAGTACATGTCACGTCCGGCAATCAGCTAAACCCCTCTTTTATCACATTACTAAGTTTCTAACTCCTAATTTGAACGATGTAACATAATCCTGAGCTGTCATATCCGCTGCGTAGTAGCGCCTACTCTAGTGTGAAGATTTGTTGTATCCGTCTTCCACTTTGACGAAGTGACCAATAAAGCTACTGACAGCTTCACCACTTCCATCTAGTACTCAGGTCACAAGAAGATAACGGTTTAACTGGTTAAAATGCTTATGTCATAGACCTTATTGTGTCTTCTAATCGATGCAGTTTTCAGCATCGAGAGAATTCAGTATCACGTAAGATACAGCTAATTCCTTTCTATACAATTACGGTATGTAATGCCACAATCTCAGTACTCAATGTGTCAAGGTCATAACAATGGTTTTACATCATAGGAGTCAAACTAATTCAAACCTTATAAACCAATGAGCTGAAACTCATACGTTCCACACAACCCTGTGTTCGTTAATCATATATAGTTATGCCAAAGTAGATATCCGTAATCAACTACGAGCAACAACTATCATGAACGATTCCACTTCTTTCTAAGATAGAAACGAATCACATCAAAATAATTAAATCAAAAGAATATTCCAAACAAAAAAAACATCAACGAGAACCAAGCAAGTTGTATTTGCTTGAAAGATATCATTAGAGGTCATCAGGTAGAGAACACGAAAAAAACATGAGAACTCGACAGCAGTATAGAACGCATTTGAGACGAATACCAAACAAAACAAGAAAACAACTAAACAAACAAATGACAGAGAGCTTAAAGCACGAAGAAAATTAAAAACTAAACAAACAAGGAAGAAAACAAACCTCCGAAATTCACAAATAACAAAGAAACAGGGACTAACAAAATGAGTAGGAACCGAAAACAAATAAAAACATTCGCGTAACGCTGTCAATACTACCACTTACAGTCAATACTCACAACATCAACATTACCCACTACTCATCAATAAGCACATCATCCAGCCAACCACCGTCAACACCAAATTCAATAAACATCACCACCTGAATTCATATACACCTACCTTATCCACACTCATCAACGACACAACGCCATAACACCATCCGTTAGTACATATTCACCAGAACAACAACACGTGTATAATCGACTATGGATCCGGAAATTACACTCACTGAACATAGATAGCATTTATTGAAAAATATCACACCTCGATTCACTACATGAAAATAAGAGAACAAAAATCACTTTGAAACACACACACACACACAACTCACTACACTAATTCAAATCAATGTAATGCAAGACAAGACAATGCAAAATACGATCATAGGATGAATAACTAACTGTCCCGTTCACATTACACTCATCAGTAGAACAATGCTCAACACTGAACATTTCAGAGAGCTGGGTTGTTCGTCATCATCGTCAACATTAATAAAACAAACACAACGAACAACACATCCCAGTCACATCAGCCTACACACCTCGTACAATCCACAACCCATCCCTAATCAACACACACACACACACACACAATCACTCACAACAAAACAAACACCCACAAATACCAACAAATAAACACTCACGCATTATACACAATCAACTCGAATCACATCACTCCATAGTCCATCTACCACAGACACAAACTCACCAACACCCATACACATGCAATCACACACTCACACATATGCATATATGCGCCCGAATCCACCGAAACACAAACAACCACAAATAACAATCTCTCAAACAAAACAACCTCAACGAACATCATCAATCGTCAACAGTTACACTGCACAACGACAGGTCACAAATTCTCTAACAATAAGTCAACAGCAACACTAAATCATCATCCAAACCCGACGAAAACAACACCGTCAACAGAAATCACACACCACTCCTCAATCAATACCACCTGTCACACATTCACACCATCAATAAACACAACAACGCTCCATCCTGACACCATACCCCACCCCATCTCCCTCTTACACACACTCACACACACACACAAACGCACCCACACACACACAAACACACTCAGGAAGAACGACAACGACAGCGACAACAACAACAACACTCGCGTAACGCTGTCAATACTACCACTTACAGTCAATACTCACAACATCAACATTACCCACTACTCATCAATAAGCACATCATCCAGCCAACCACCGTCAACACCAAATTCAATAAACATCACCACCTGAATTCATATACACCTACCTTATCCACACTCATCAACGACACAACGCCATAACACCATCCGTTAGTACATATTCACCAGAACAACAACACGTGTATAATCGACTATGGATCCGGAAATTACACTCACTGAACATAGATAGCATTTATTGAAAAATATCACACCTCGATTCACTACATGAAAATAAGAGAACAAAAATCACTTTGAAACACACACACACACACAACTCACTACACTAATTCAAATCAATGTAATGCAAGACAAGACAATGCAAAATACGATCATAGGATGAATAACTAACTGTCCCGTTCACATTACACTCATCAGTAGAACAATGCTCAACACTGAACATTTCAGAGAGCTGGGTTGTTCGTCATCATCGTCAACATTAATAAAACAAACACAACGAACAACACATCCCAGTCACATCAGCCTACACACCTCGTACAATCCACAACCCATCCCTAATCAACACACACACACACACACACAATCACTCACAACAAAACAAACACCCACAAATACCAACAAATAAACACTCACGCATTATACACAATCAACTCGAATCACATCACTCCATAGTCCATCTACCACAGACACAAACTCACCAACACCCATACACATGCAATCACACACTCACACATATGCATATATGCGCCCGAATCCACCGAAACACAAACAACCACAAATAACAATCTCTCAAACAAAACAACCTCAACGAACATCATCAATCGTCAACAGTTACACTGCACAACGACAGGTCACAAATTCTCTAACAATAAGTCAACAGCAACACTAAATCATCATCCAAACCCGACGAAAACAACACCGTCAACAGAAATCACACACCACTCCTCAATCAATACCACCTGTCACACATTCACACCATCAATAAACACAACAACGCTCCATCCTGACACCATACCCCACCCCATCTCCCTCTTACACACACTCACACACACAAACGCACCCACACACACACAAACACACTCAGGAAGAACGACAACGACAGCGACAACAACAACAACACTCGCGTAACGCTGTCAATACTACCACTTACAGTCAATACTCACAACATCAACATTACCCACTACTCATCAATAAGCACATCATCCAGCCAACCACCGTCAACACCAAATTCAATAAACATCACCACCTGAATTCATATACACCTACCTTATCCACACTCATCAACGACACAACGCCATAACACCATCCGTTAGTACATATTCACCAGAACAACAACACGTGTATAATCGACTATGGATCCGGAAATTACACTCACTGAACATAGATAGCATTTATTGAAAAATATCACACCTCGATTCACTACATGAAAATAAGAGAACAAAAATCACTTTGAAACACACACACACACACAACTCACTACACTAATTCAAATCAATGTAATGCAAGACAAGACAATGCAAAATACGATCATAGGATGAATAACTAACTGTCCCGTTCACATTACACTCATCAGTAGAACAATGCTCAACACTGAACATTTCAGAGAGCTGGGTTGTTCGTCATCATCGTCAACATTAATAAAACAAACACAACGAACAACACATCCCAGTCACATCAGCCTACACACCTCGTACAATCCACAACCCATCCCTAATCAACACACACACACACACACACAATCACTCACAACAAAACAAACACCCACAAATACCAACAAATAAACACTCACGCATTATACACAATCAACTCGAATCACATCACTCCATAGTCCATCTACCACAGACACAAACTCACCAACACCCATACACATGCAATCACACACTCACACATATGCATATATGCGCCCGAATCCACCGAAACACAAACAACCACAAATAACAATCTCTCAAACAAAACAACCTCAACGAACATCATCAATCGTCAACAGTTACACTGCACAACGACAGGTCACAAATTCTCTAACAATAAGTCAACAGCAACACTAAATCATCATCCAAACCCGACGAAAACAACACCGTCAACAGAAATCACACACCACTCCTCAATCAATACCACCTGTCACACATTCACACCATCAATAAACACAACAACGCTCCATCCTGACACCATACCCCACCCCATCTCCCTCTTACACACACTCA